TAGTTGTCTTTCCCCAGGTGTTTACTATTCTCCCTGTTAGTGTTCCTTTATGTCTGCATTAAGCTGTGATCCACAGCCAGTCATGATTTACCCCGTTTAAGTCTCCCGTTGTTCCTATGAGAAATTCATGTAAGTAGTTTTGCTGCCTTGACAGCCTTTTATTGTTTTTGGAAAACTTTGTTAAAGGAGACTAATTATGGGTCCTAGAAATGTTTATGGTATGTCTGTGGGCTATCCAGACCATGTTCATTCAATTTAATGCACAAAATAATTCTCAGATAATAAAATTTCCCATTTTCTAGTTCTGCCTGCTCTGACTTCCGTTCAGAAGAGCTGTTTATGTTAATGAGCTCTGTTGGTAACGCCCTCCAAAAATCTGTTGACATTAACTCCGCCCTCCAGAGCCAGCGTTTACGTTAGCATGGCTAATAATAGCAGAAGCTGTGTTGTTCAACCATATGGGACCCTGCCGAGTCAGACCCAGAGGCAGAGTCGGTTGCAGCTTCTTTTTTTTTCTCCCCCTCCTCTGCTCTGCCCTCACTCTGCATGCTGTTACCAGAGCAGGGAGCAGCAGCGGTCAAAATACCTCAGAAACTTGAACAAATAAGGCTTTAATAAGCTAAACAGTAGAGGTACATGAGAAAACGTGTTCATAATGAATGAAAATAAATAATTAAATTGTGTCCGTGCTGGTCTCAACCCCTGGTCTCCCACTCTCTGGTCCAACACTCTACACATTGCTCTATTGGAGGCTTGTTGTGAAATGAGCYACACATTACACAACAACAATGTGACGGCTCTTTATACTGGAGGAGGAGCTTCTCCTGGGGGTTGCTGGGTAAGGGGCTGAACGCAGGTTCCGGTGGGTTGTCGTACGGCTTGTGACATCACAAAATGACGGAAGTATAAAACTTGTCGTTAATATACATTAAAAATACATTTACTTACAGTAAATATGCTCCTGGGTGCATTTTTTGGTCCTAGTACTGTTTTTTTAAGAATTACATACACAAAGTTGAGTAAAAAAAACCTTGAAAAAGTGAATTTTGCATTATAGGTCCCCTTTACTAGTTTACCTTTWACAGTTGAGCTTTTGAGACTTGTCCATATCTTGAGTTTGTCACCACTCCTAAATCATCTCATACCTTCCCTTTTGCTATTTTCTAAGGTTTCAACAAGCCTTTGATATTTGTAAATAGACTGTATTATAGTGCCTTTCTATCTAACTAGGATACTCAAAGCTCTTTACTGTAGCGTGTACTGAGGGTAGAAACAGAAGGGTGAGACTGTTTCTGCACTCTGCCACACTTTTGCCAAGTTAGGGCACTAAATATTTTAATTGATAATATTTATACACCTGTTTTAATCACTCATTTATCCCAAAGAGTGAATTCATATGAGTTAACAGTGAACTTTTGCCATTTAGTATTCAAGAAGTAGGAAACCCATTTTGTCTTTTAAAAATTTATTTAAAAAAATAGAAAAATCTAATTTCAGGAAGAGTGGATAAAAATGATAACATAAAAAGACAAACATAATAAAGGCTTAAAATAGTTAAAGGAAGTGGTGTGAGAAATACTTAAGATTATTAGATGTAAATCTAAGATCAATTAAGATTAAATGAGAGTTTAATCTTATTTGTTTTGTTTATATGAAGTGAGTTTACACAAAGTTAACTATTTTAACAGTTTACTTTGGGAGTTTGATGAGAGAGAGATGTTACAGCTGATTTACTTGTTTGTTTACTGTAAGCAAGGACATGATTTTATCCAAGTTTCTGCATCAGCTACAACCAGACCTGACCTCGCTTTAAGCTTCCACAGGAGAGGAGAGCCTCATTCAGACCAGCTGGACATTAGGTCTGACACTTGGCTGAGCCCCAGGATGGTACCTGGTCAGCTGGCAGGACAGCTTGGGTGGACTCTGACTCCTCGAAGTCTGAGATCCACAGACGTCTGAGGTCACTCACAGGTGGACAGGCTGCTGTAGAGTTGATGGAGAGTTGAGGACCTGTTTGGAAACAGCTCTCCAGTGGGTTTGAAGCTTTCCAAGTCAAAAAATGGTCTTTCTTACAGATAAAGTTTTCTTCTTAGTTTAACTGGTTCTGGAATGTTGGCTTTAATAATCTTAGTTCTGAGTTCCATGTTGTTTCTCAGATACGGATAAACATAAAACACAAAAGGTTCAGACAGATGAACAGGACTCGAGTGACAGAAAGAAGCAATTTCTCTTGAAAACAGCTTTCGTGTCTACGTCACTATAGATCTGCAGTCTCCCTCTCAAGGCTATAAGCTAGAATAATATTGTGAAGGTGTCTCTGCCCAACAGCTTTCCATCTAAATCAGTCTGTCTCCCTGTCAAGGAGAGCTTCGTCTGAAATAAAGGAAAAACAAAACATGTTAGATATTTTTAACGGATTTGAACATCTGTATTAAYTGACCTAAATCATCAAGGACAACACTGAAATAAAGAAAATATCATTTTATTTTTCTTCCTTTGAAATTTTTGAATAAGTCTGTATATTCATTAAGTGTTAAAGAACAATGAGTCTTTTACAGGCCAGCGGTCACTCTTTCAGAGATGAGGATGTTCTCATTCTTGATAGGGAGGAACGTTGGTTTGAGAGAGGAGTAAAAGAAGTGAAGAAAGACCGTCCATCATTAAACAGAGGTGGAGGCCTCCGTTTTCAGTTGTCCCCCTCCTACAGCGCTGTCATTGCCAGTATCACTCCACCCCGTTAACAATAGGCGTTAATTAGGTGTCAACGATAGCCATGTGATGTGAGTATCAGTCACATGGAGGCAGGGCTTAAAAGCCTGAATTTTGCCTGAAACTCTCAGACTGAAGAAGTCTCTTGGAGAAGAGACGAAACGTTTCATAGAGAAGAACCCGTCCAGAAGACCTATACAATTTTTGTCTTTTTGATTTTTTACCTGGATTACTGAGATGCATCAGGAAACAATAAGTCTTATTGATACAGAATACAGTATGTCGAGAGTAATCTTTAAAATAACTTTTACATAATAATTCAGTATGAACATAACCTCAGGGTTCAGAGGTCATCACAGAAAATACGTTTTGTCTAGTTTGACCAAAGTGTGTCAGTTTCTGGGCTACATCAGTGTTTTTGTATATCATTATAGAAAAGAACAAAATCAAATTGGCTGATTTAGTGAGACAAAGCTTGAAGGAAGCAGATGGTGTTTATAGAAAACAGGTGCAGCTCATGTCCTGTTCCCACCCATGATACCAGCAGGTATCAGTTTAGGACCTTTGGACTTTTTACTACATGGTTCTGCAGAGTACAGGCAGGAAATGATTTAAGAGGGAACGTTACGTTATCTGCTCCCAGACTAATTGTTATTRTTAATTGTTGTCATTAATTGTTATCACAGTGTGTTTGTGTGACTGGTGAAGTAGAGCCCAGACTCCCTCACAAAAGAAATAGCCAAACATTTCTCTTTTATATTGTTTCAATAACCTCCATTTCTATGTCTCCACTCGTGTTTATTTCAGGAACGCTGTGTTCTGTCAGTGTTAACATTTAACCTAGTTTTCAAATGATTTTAAAAAGAAAACACAACATAAATGTAACACGGGYGTCTATTTTAGTGACAGTGTTGTGTTGGGGCTTTGCACGAGAAGCTTAAAAAAGAAAAGCAATAATAAACAGCTTTACACAAGGAGCATAAGCTTTAGTAACTTGGAACATATTTTAGTTTTTGTTTTACTTCAGATTTTGTTTGGAATGAAATGTTAACAGATACTTGTGTTCCAGTGGAGGCACTCAACATGTGTTGTGTGTGGTGGTGATGGTGGTGTGGTTCACACAATGTTTTACAAGCACCACCCCAAAACACTTGTCCATCCACGTTCTTTACCCACTTTAAGGGTCTTGGGGGAGTTGATGCCTATCTTGAGCCAAGTCAAACAAAATTAGATATAATTCTGTAAATGTATGGAATAAAAAGAGACACTTACTGTATTTCCATTGAGATCTTTTCTTTGTTGTGAGTTGAAAGCACATTTGGGAGCAGGTTTGAGTCCTTTCAATTTGGTGAAACAAGCGTTGCTCTTATTAATAGAAGCTTTTCTGTTGTTAAACTTCCTACTTGGTAAATCTTCTCAGTCTGGATGGGAGCCATCATTGGACCCATGTTCAGCAAAGATCAGGTCAGGACTGTGGTCCACTCTAGGACAGAGCTGTCTCCAAGCCACTCCTGTGTCTTAGTGTACTTTGGGTCATTGTCATGTTGGAAGACCAGTCTAAGGTCCTGAGCTCTGTGGACCAGGTTTTCCCTGATCAGTCTCCCTGCTCCTGAAAGGGATGCCCACAGCTTGATGACGTCACCACTACTGAGTGATGGTTGGACAGATGATGAGCTGTTCCTTGCAACCCTTTAATCAGCCTGTTTATCTTAAAGACCAGATTGTTGGAGGCAGCAGTTACTTCAGTCCCACCGTCTGAGGATCTCCAAGAAAATGACACAACTGTTTAAAGTTCGTTAGTTATTATGGGGTAATGAGCCTTGATTAATTAAGGGGGAAATGCATTGAAATTATTGTGACACCAGTAATAATATAACAAAATAGAAAAATAAAAACAAAGAAGTGGTTTTACATACTTTCTGAAGCCACTTCTTTCATTTTAATCCAGCTGCTCCATTTCTCAGAGGACATCAGTGAGCAAACTCTCACAGGTTGCCCTTCTGCATACAACCACTGAGCGCAGATGACTCATTGTTGCAGATGGAGGCCGGGGCTCGCTCAARGGCTCAGAGTGAGGTGGAGGTAGTTGTGGGTGCTTCATATTTACCATCCAAAGTCAGGGGATTTGAACCGGCAACCTCTCAATCAAAGGCTTGCCTTCTCTAACCTCTGCACAACCGCTTTCTGAAGCCACCATTATATTTTATTTACAGTTTTGGAGCCCTTTTAATGTCAACAGCAAATGAATATCAATCAACAATCAATAAGCATTTATTTATGAAGCTCTTTCTAAAAACCAAACGTACAAAAAAAAAAAAAAAAAAAGCCAGCGAGCCAGCAGGTATAAAAATATGTTAAAAACTGGCCTTGACTACAGAGGCTGTTTTATCTGCACTGGTGCATCAGGTGTAATTAATGAAAAGCACATCAAAGACTTCTTCAAACAAACTCAAGAGAGTAGGGCTGAGCTCTGACTGCCAGGATTCTTCACAGATGTGCGCTGGAGCGAGTCCTGACTTCCTGCGTCGCTGTGTGGTGGTCTGGCTGCCCAGTCGCAGAGCAGGAAACGCCCACGGACTCCACATGGACTGTTTGTTCCCCTGCTGTCAGGCAGGAGGCTGCGCAGCAGAGATCAACAATCAGTTTGCTGTCAAACGGCTGAATCTGTCAAAACAACACAAACATGAAGGAACAGACCATCTCTGCAAACACTACTTGCACTGCATTAAACATAATTTCACATCCCTGTGGCCTTAGCATTTGTTTTATTTGTATCTTTACTGTTTTTCATTTTTGTAATGGTTTTTTTACTGTGTGTTTATTGTGATTTTTATGGATGAATGAATGATATTTTATTGATCCCAAGGGGAAATTACATTTCAGAACACCTTCTCACAAGACGATAGAACATAAACAAACATAGGAGAACAGGTGCCCCCAGGTAATGCAGCCATAGACCCTGCACAGAGTAAGGATCATCATCATGAAAGGACATCATGAAGAGGCGCTACCCTTAAAAAAGAAAAACTAAATACCATATAAGGATAGATGAAAAAAATGTCTATTTTGTTGTCATGTTTAGTGTACAGAACGAAACAGTCTAAATGTTATACAGACTGCACTACTTCCATTTGACTATAAATGAGAGAAGCACTGCTACAATTAATACATTTAAAAATCTAAATAAAAAAATAGAATGTATATATAAAAACAACTGAAAAATAATTAATTTTGAGCAAAGTATTTAAAATACATTTGTTGGCTCTCTGTGTATACAAAACAGATTTTTTTTAAAGTTGCTGAAGGATATTTTTTACTGAGATGAGC